AGCGCCAAGTCACCCTCCGGTGGGTGCTGTGTCGGAAATTAGTGCTCGCAAGAAATAAGCGAGCATCTTCACACAAATGAAGTAACCACTCCCCGTTATTATTACGGGAGCCTACACCATGTTGGCTGCCCAGATGCAGTTCACCAGTGGACAACCTTCCAACTTGTGCGTTCATATCCCCCGCCAGCACAAGTGTCCGTGCTTCTTCCGTGGCGAAGGAGCTGGGTCAGTTGACGGTAGAAGTCGTTCTTTACCGAATCCTCGCTACAGTTTGTGAGCGCATAGGCAGCGATGATGAATAGACATCTATTAGTCCTGCGCGACTTGAAGCTTTAAACGAGCCAGCCAATCGAACCGCACACATCCGGCTACTGATTGGAATCCAATCAACCAGAGCAGCTTCAGCCCGGGGACTCAGGGCAATGCCAACACCAGTTTGGCCGGTGCTCGAAGCTGCATCATCACCGGATAGGCGCAATGAGAAAATACTGCTTGCGTCGCCTGAAGGAGATCGCAGAGTGAGCACAGTGCTCGAGTCTTGTAGCCGAGTCTCTGATAAGCAGCAGATATCGATCGAGAGGGTCTCCAATGTTCGGGCAAGTGCTGCCTGTTGACCGATTTTTAGCAATGTGCGTACATTGAGGCATGTAGGCGAGTACTAGGTAGCGTTAAACATGCTAGCTCCCTAGAGCAACAGATAGCGCTGAATAAGTTGCCTTGGCTCGGGCACTTGCTACGTATGCCTGGTCACCGCTTACCTCAGAGGGCCTTGTTCAGTCTACCAGGTGTAGCGTGGCGCAAGGCTCGAGGTGGACAGAAGTTGACTTGGCAGCGCGAAATGAAGTCGCTGACGACCAAACTGGGTGCCATTGGTCCGTCTTCCAGGCTGGAGTCCACGTGACTCGCCTTGTGCTTGGCTCGAGACTTTACAGGACATGGCTCGCAACCGACACCAGTGGGGCGTCTGGTGCCGTCTCCTAATCGGACTGCTTGTTTAAGATGTGTTTGGTGCTGACTTATCTGCGGGGCACTGGCTGATTATGATGCGGAGCAGTGAAAGCCGCAAGGAAGCTATCTCGCCGATGCCGCCTTATCTTTGCACGATAGCCAGCTGTTTGTGACGGTATGTTGTCTGCACGTTTGCTTTGCAACTATAAGGTCACCGGTTCGAATCCGCGTAGGGGTGGGCGTCCTCACGGCATATTCAGCCCTCGCGCGACTGGTGGTGGTCGGGCGGCAGCGAAGCGCCGTTACGGCGTACAGCTGACACATTATTTTTATTATTTTTATTAGGCGCCTTGACCCTGAATGTTTGCTTAGGGCATTAAGCTTTTAGGTAATTCCCCTTCTCTCCCTCTTATTCTTTATTTCATAGGTCCTCATGGTTATATCGCAGCGAAACATCACTTCAAATGACTGATGTACTGCTGTTGATGACGATGATGATGTAATCTGCGCCGCTCCATAGAGAACAATTTTGGGCCGCTTAGGCGTTCTTCATATCATCATCATCATTATACACGTCAACTAGAGGTG